GGATCCTGCTTATCAAGGTGACATTTCCCACATGTGTGTCCACATTTCAATGTGGTTAAGTCAAGCACACACAAATGGGGAAGTAAATATGGAGGGCACATACTATACTGAAGCTGCTGCCTGGTGGTCTGGGAGAAAACGTTAGACCAGTAGTTTAGCATCCAGTGCACACATAACCTTTAAGACATGTATCAGGGCAAGGGTGAAGGAGGAGGAAAAATGCCTGTGTCTTTGGTCACGACTTATAGACAGCTGTTTCAGTCATTCAGCAAAGGGCATGGATAGAAAATGTAAACACCACTATCACTTCCCAAAGACAGCAATTACCACTCTCTTCTTTGGAAATGTGGACCAGACCAGTTGCCAAGCTGAGACAAGACAGATGAGCTTCTCTACTGTTTTGGCAGAGTATGTCCACACTACTTTAAAGTGTCCAGGCAGCTGCTGTTGATGTTACGTACATTGTTTCAAATTTTTTTGACACAAGTGAAGAAAGTGTGCCTGCTCTACAATTACTGGTGTGCATTGATCTGGGACTGTGCTATCACATGATGTGAAGTGATGACAGCTGACGAATGTGATGCGACAGCAGCTGAAGTTTTGAGGTACAGACTCGTATTATTTTACAGATAGCAGTCTCTCTCGTAGAAGTGGAGGAAATTTTCTTTACTGGGAAAATGTCTTGCTACCCAGCAACCAACAACATCATGTTTACACCAAAGCTGTTCTCCGGTTTCACTTCCAACATAAGGCTCACATGTCTGACTAGTCTCATGACTTCACTGATATGCACTTGTGGGAAAATAATAAGCAAACTAACATAAGGCTCCATGCCGCTGCATGCATGTGTACTGTCACACAGTTTGAAGAGGAACCTCATGTGCCTGCATCTGCTACATGGAAATAGCTATAATTTAAAAGTAAATGGTAGCTGTAAGGATACAATGACTTGGAAGTAAATATTTAATGATCTGTTGGGCAATGTAATTAGTGACCACGAGGAGTATACTGCAAAAAGGCCAAGAGAAGGAACTGATTCAACATACGATGAATATCCTGTTAGTAAAATCAAAGTCCTGCCAGATCTTAGAGCTCCACTCTGTAATGTTTGTTCAATAGCCATCAATAGTCTATTCAGTGAGGAAAATGATTAAAAGCCTCTCTTTTAATGGCTGCTGGGTCATCTTGTGTTGTCTGGCTAGCTATAGTCTCCCGGCCTTTTCACTCTAATGTGACTTTTGTTCGCTCTTATCTCAGTGACATACAAGGAGCTCGTGTGGCACAGTGTCACCCACCCACACCCCCAGCTGAGGCCCACAGGTGAATATTTCTATGAGAAACAGAACAGGAATAATCAGAAAGCACCCAGTAGAGAATGTTATCCTTTACTTTACCCGATGGTAAATTCTTTGTAGTGCCAACGACTAGAGAAATCTCCTCACCTGCACAATAAAAGACACCTGCATATCTATTACTGAGCTCACCAGCTATTAATCCATATAATTTTCAAACGGTGTCCACTGGTTTACACTCTTAGCAAAATAACTAAATAAAAACCCAACTAATTACTTCAGATTTAATTATATAAACGAATGAGTTGGTATAAGAGGATCTACACTACATAATCATTTGAAGAGGACACATCTGTAGACAAAGCAGTTGCAGTGTTCTGGTTCCTCTAGGGCTTGCAGGAGTTTCATCATCTGTGCATTAGCATACTTATGTTTACAAAGAACAAACACTCTGGTACACATCTGTCACACACGTGCATTTTCAGAAGCAGGAGAATCACTGACACAGTGCAGGCCTTCAGTTGATTAAAGGGGGTTTAAAAATCCTTTGCATTCACATTATTTACATTCTGCAAATTGCATCAAAAAAAATCAATAGAGAAAATCTATGTATAGAGAAAATGTATTTATAATGGTCACGCAGTGCTCCAAAATCATTTTATTTGATGGCTGCCCATTGTGTATGACAAAAACATATCTACCTTCCACAGAGAACCAAAGCAATCAACATGGCAGTCGACAGTGACTTATATTTAGCAAGGATTTTTTTATACAGGTACATTTATATGGCTAATAGGGCTTATTGTGGTGTATGTAGATTAAAACTCCGAGACCCACCTTGTAATGGGGGATTTCTTAAGGTGATTATTTATTAATCCCCAGGAACCTACTGCCTTGTCCATGGATGAACCCATGTCTGCCCACTCACAGCCCTGTGCCAACTTCAGAAGCAGAGTATGATAGGAATAAATAAATCAAGCTTGCTGTGGCATTCCTATGTATTTTTGAATTAAGAAAGCAGTGGTTATTGACCGAGCGTAAGTTTTTCATTCCTGTTTTAAGCATAAACAATAATGTCATTTGGTACTTTGGCCAGGTTTTCTGCCACCAATTCACACATAATGTTTTGTATGCACACAAGACTGTGGTATACAGTCCTGCATACATGTTGATGGGTGTCAGACAAACCCTTCTCTGCACTGCATGCTGAAATTATTACACATACTATAAATGATTACACTGAACAGTCCTTTCAGCATCTGTCTTTCACTTCCTCAGCCTGTGTAGGACAGGGCCAACCTACAACGCCAACACAGAGTTTAGCACATCATTACAAAGCTTAATGAATATTTTAGCACACCACAGTCAGCAAGGGGGACATATACTTTTTTACTGGTGCTCCCCATCTCCTTTTTTGGTCTGCTGCAATGTGCCACTGAATCCCAAACTTCTACTCTTTGCCTGCCATTCTGTGTCAATGCCATCCATAATACATAAAACCAAGCCATTCACATTACTATTAATGGCCATGTTTAATGTTGGGGCAATACATTCCCATAAACTCCTAGACATAGTCAAACTTGCCCTTACCTCCATCCTGAATAGCATTAAAAGAAAATCTAAATTCTGTGAATGTTAGACATAAGGTCACAGAAGAGGTTGACTGATTGCCCTTGATATCCCCTCTTGCATATGTTGCTTTAACCTCTAGAGTCCCTGCGTCCTCATATGAGGACCGCACAGCTTGGGTTTCCAAAGCTCAGGACTCTAGAGGTTAAGCTTCAGAGAAGGATCAGTGCAAATGGCATCATTCTTCTTCTCCCCACTACAATGACCTCCACCTCTCCTTGAAGTAAATCTAAATGCCCTAGAGTAGTCAGACAGTGTGAGAGGTGGTCTGGCCTGAATCGAAGGCCTCCTAGCTATTCAGTGAAGTTTGTGGAGTGCTCAGTCTAAGTCAAGATATTCTGCATCATTTGTATAGCAGTTATGACCCTTAGTAAAACCAGTGCTTTACCAGTATAGACAAGAACTGTTATTAATTGGGTGAGGGTCTCTTGCTGTATCAGCTGGCTACATGCTAGCCCCTCACAATTATACATGTCCACCTTCCTAAAATAGGCTTTCAGACTGTAGAAGCACAGGTTGGTCAACAACTTGGAGGCCACATGTGACTCCTAGAGCTAAGAATAAGCAGAAACCTCAGCACATTACCAGTCACCATAAAGTCAGCCAGTCATCAAAGACAGGGTATTAGTATACAGTATCAGAACTGTATCTTCAGCAACAACAAAACAGAAAGGCAGAAATGGTCACTTTAAAGCCCTGTGGTAGTTTTACCTGCAAACATTTTCAAAGAAATAACTAGTGCAAGAAATATTATGGGCATATAGGAAGCCACAACATCAAACACACTTCCTATTCCTTCAAAACCAATTATGATTGAAAGAGTCATCATAAATCTGTATTCCAGAAGAAAAGAAAAAAGGTGCACATCATAATGGATGCCTCTGACTTTCAGTTCCTTTAACTTACAGTATGTCAGCTTAGGTATAAAATAACACCTAACTAATTAGGTAGAGAAAGAAAAGCACCAAAAACACATCTGTGCCACCTTCTGAGCTCACGTTTGTTGGTGATACTTTCCCTGATATTAGATTTTGTTACTTCATTCACTGTGGGAAATGTTCCACTGAGAAATAACTTAACCAATGATAGGTCATAAATTGTTAAAGCTATTGGAACACATTTTGAGTTTGAATGCACAGTGGAACACTGGAGATGCTTCTGTCCAGATGTCGCGCGTACTGTGCATCATGTCAGCTGTTGCCTAATCTGAAACGAACATTTGCCTGACCTACTTATGGGTGCTCCACAGAGCAACATACTGTATATTTTATATTATGCTGCAGTGGAGTCAAGCATTTACTTACTGTTTTATGACCATTCTCTGTAAGACAAACATGAATACTCAGTCATCTGAAGGACCTATTTTTGATCACAGTGACACAAGGGAAGGTACTTGCACCAAGTCATTTAAGATGAACACAAAAGGACACTCACTCCACTTGTCCTTGAACACCACCTTTCAGCTGTGATGTCAAGGAACAATAACAACCTGCAGCCCACCATAATGTTATAGTGCTACATAGCAAAACACCATACATGAATTAGATGTGCTCGCACTCACACTAAATTATTCATATAATTGTCACATACTGCATATTCTCAGACTATGACACAAAACCATGGAAGGAAGTCCTATACTGCAGTAAATGCACACTCCCGATTTAGACGTTGCATTACAAACCCACAGTCAGAAGGTGAGAAATAAATATGATGTAATGTTTCAGTTGATTGAGTCATGGGCATTGTCTCTACTCCAAATCAAGATGGCCTGTTAGGAAACTGAATACCACAGTCAACCAGTGGGACCCAACCATGTGTGCTGCCAGTCATACTATGAGTGTGTGTGTGTGTGTGTGTGTGTGTGTGTGTGTGTGAGAGCGAGAGAGAGAAAGAGACCCCTTGACCACTGAGGCCATTCATTAATTGTCATACAACAAGCCCACACCACCCCCTCCCTCTTTCCAGGCCCATTGCAACAACAACAACAGCCACTCAGCTGCTACAGTATTTGGCCCTTCCCCAGACCAGGTCCTTTCAGTTAGTACAACCACCAGCTAGACCACACAACTGTTTACTCACCCTTTTGCCCTCTTTGCCTGGTTCCCCTGGCTGACCCGGCACCCCAGCCAATCCCTACAGAGAATGGACATGCACAAGTATCATACTGGAGTTGGTGCTTCATTCATCTGCATTTGGCACTGCAGGAAGAGATTATGGCGTGCTTCTTGTAAAACCTGACACAGACAGATGTTTGTGCCACATGTTCTACGCCGACAGCTAATGTAGTGGGTTTATTTGCAATAATAGGAAACACAGCATTAGCTTAGTTAAAACTGCACAAAGAGATAAAAAGGAGTATACACAGCTGTAGTTTCTATTCTAGTTCATGAACTGTTTTTAGGTGATTTCACCATCCCCTTAATAGATAATTTGCAGCCTTGGTTAATCAGAGCTTCATTCCATTATTCTACACAGTATCTTGATAAGAAACTATTACCAAGTTAATCAAGGTATATACCAAGCCCTGAAGTTTTTGGGCAAGGCTATGCATATGCTGCTTCAACAAATGTTTGCTGAACCTAATAGCTGTGCTTGATTGCTTGAGAACAGATAATGTGCACTTTGCCCAGCAAGAACAACAGACAACAACGATAGTCTATATTAAATGTGGTGATTATTATTATTATTTTCTTTTTTTTTTACCTTGTCTCCTTTTTCACCTCGTGGGCCCTGAATGTGGCAAACAAAAAAATTATATTTATTAAAAAAAACAAACCCATATATTTAGAAAATATGAAGAAATTGTCAGTGAAAACAATATTAATCTAATTTCAGTACCTGATCTCCTTTGAGGCATTCTTTTTCACCCTAGGAATCATATGAACAATCAAAAACATGTCAATCAGTATGAAAAGACAACACACATATACAGTATATAAAAGCAAGCAACACAATTGGTCATGGTACAGTGATTAGCTTTGGTCACCATGACTTGAAGAGAAGTTAGGACATGAATGTTACAACTCCCCAGACGCCCTGCCTGCCACTGTCAGAATAGGGCAAACAGGGTCATCTATTCACCAAATGTGCACATCTCAGCTTTCAAACACAAGTCTGTTTTCTTATTGTTTATTTTGCTGTTACACTGTGGGACGAGGGCTTAAGGGAAAACATTTCATTACATTACATCACATGTATAAAACAACATAATGTGCTATAAATCTTGAACATTGAACCTTTAACTTTGTAATTTGTGTCCTCTCTCAACTGGAATCAAATGCTTTTCTTAGAAATAGCGGCAGAAACACAACATAGTATGTCTTGCACATTAGTCAAAGATCTCATGTAAAGCAGCAAAAGTAAAAAAAATAAATTAATTAACAAGGAGGCTTACAGGCTTTCGCTGTTGTATTTGCAGCTGTATCTATAAAAAAAATTGTGACAGCTTTGACCGGTGTCACCCTAAATAAAACAAGGCTCATTCTCCTTGCATTTCTTTTGCTAATAATTCATTTATAATGGTACTTTTTTTTATTGGCTTGGGAGCACAGAGCTGTGACCTTGGTTAACAAGCAATACAATTCAAATCCACTAGCAGCAGGTCCACACTACTTTACCAACTCCCTCTCAGCATTTTCTGCCCATACTCACCACCCAATTTACCAACATGATTTGAGAAAGTTTTCTGAAATCATGTTCACTAGTCAATGAAAAGTCATTATTTTGTTTGTATTACTATTAATTATTGTTAATGCAAAATTAACAGCTAATGCATGGCACCAGTTTTCTGTGGGTACTACAACCAGTTTGGTGACATAACTGGGGCAAGCCGGAAGCAGCGGGACACTGTTTTTGTATCAGTCCAGTGCTGATTAAAACTGGCATGCTAATCCCCTCATGATGTGTATATAATTAACTAACCACTTACAGTATATGCTTAATCTCCAGTAGCTGTCATCTATAGGGCGACAATGCTTTGAAAGCATGTCTGTTTGCATCTGTGCCCACGCATTCACCTTAAGTGTTGACAGGTGATATGTGAGCATATGTGAGTATATATATCTGCTGTGTGCTGACATACAGTATGTGCACTGGAATAATTTCTGGGTTATGTTCTCTGTCCTCTGAATTTCACAGGACCACAGGAAAATCACTAGTGCAGTCCAATTATAAAATTGAAATACGTAAAGTGTGCTGTAGTTCTTCCCAGGTGTCTTCTCAATACGTCTGCAGAAGCAGCCACCAACCCAATAAGAACATGTCTCGCCTGTGTAGGATATAGCTAGTGACTACCTTTCAACCTTCGCCCCCACCCCTGAGCTCAGCACTCCATTCTTCTCTGCCTGGCTGCTCATCCCTATCCTTCTTGGTCCATGTGAGGATCCCCACTGAGCCCTGTCTATCTGCTTCTTGTCTGTCCCATTCCCAGGTGATGGTAATGTGACACAAAGACTACTCTGCTCACCTGAGTGCCTCGCTTTCCATCTCTGTGGGCCAGATGTTTTAACACAGCATGTAGCACCTGGTCAGCCAAAAGGCTGTGATATTTACAAAGCTCAGCTCAGCAATTTCAGGTCATAACCACCGGAGTGTATTTCAACATTTAATTTTTCTGAATGTCCTTACATCTACAAAGAGCATAATGAGATGTAAATCACATATGTACTTACTGGAAGCCCTGGAACTCCAGGCAGACCTGTGACACCCTGTGAAAGAAAACAAAAATGACTAAAAACTCCTAAAACATCTTTAATGTACTGTGTGTAATGGGAAAGGCTACAGCTAAGTCTATACAATATATTCTAAAACAAGACGCATAGCAGTATCCTTTCAATATATGCAGAATGTAAAGCACTATAGAAGCCCATTAACTGGTATTTACAGTATGTGAAGTGAAGCTTGTCTGATGACTTTCACACTGTCAGACAACTGGCAAGTGGACTGGTGCTATTATATGTGACAGGCCTTAAAATAAACACAGCTATGCTACATCGTGTAAAAGCCCTGCAGTATTAACAATGGACAGGTAGGATAACATTGTTTGGTGATTGTGACATACAGGCAGTCAAGAAAAGTCATATAAGGAAAGAAGTAGATGTCTTTTCCCTCCAGCATAATTTAATGTAAGCAATGATCTCACATGCTTTTTACTGCCTCTCTTGTTTTTTGTCATTTTAGATAAAACTCATGTATCACTGTCTAATATTTTTGTAGTTTTTTCTGATTTTCACCACAGCCCCAACAGTACTGTATAAAGCACCAAGCTGAGGATCAGTGGACTTTATAAATGGCAATGTCCTTTTATCAGATGTGGATGAAAGAAAAAAAAAAAGCGCTTGTAGTTCATATCCATTCTGTTGTCTAAATGAGTGTCACAGCTAGAATATGCCTGCTATGGGATATTCAGGGGACTCATTACTTTATGCTTCCAAATCTGCCTCCCTCTGTCAACTTTAATACAAACAAACATACTCTCCACCCCCACCCCCCTCCCTCC